GTATAAATGTAAAACTAGATGGGAAAAGTCATAGTATTAAGATTTCACAATTAGCTGACGACACAACACTTTTTTTGTAAAGATAAAAACGATGTAGTAACTGCAATGAACGAATTAGAAACTGTTGGTTCTTTTTCAGGTTTTTTTTATTAAATAGAAATAACACAATAAAACAGAGGGCTTATGGATTGGGAAATTGAAATCGTGTAAAGATACAATTGTCGGGATTAAGTGGGGAGATAAACATATTAAAGCTCTAGGGGTGTTTTTCAGACATGATAAAGTGGAATGCCAAAAATTAAATAGGGATTGTAAATAGAAAACATGAATAAATTATTTATGATATAGAAAAAACGAAATCTATCAATTTTAGGGAAAATCCTAATTATAAAGATTTTATTATTGCCTTTATTTACATTCCTAGGAAACGTCTGTTTAATTTTTGAAAATTATCTAAAAGAAATAGAAAACAAAAGCTTTAAATATATTTGGGATGGGAAGCCAGACAAAGTTTAAAGAAGCCTGATGATAGGTCCATATGAAAAGGGAGGTTTAAAAATGGTCGACTTTAAAAGTTATTATGTGGCTTTAAAAGCATCATGGGTGAATAGATTGGTAAATGGTAAACTTGCGACTTGGAAGCTTATACCATAGAAATATTTAAATGTTTCAAACAGAATTCTGTCAATATTTAGCATGAATTTGAACGATACTAAATCTCTGAAATATTCTTAAAAGTTTCCTGCGTTTTATCAAGAAGTAATAAAGTCCTTGAATTTGAGTGGCGGGGGGCAAACAAAACAACCAAATACATTTATTGATATCAGAAAACAAACAATATGGGGAAATAAATTTATAAAATTTGGAAATAAATCATTTATATTGGATTAAGATTGATCTGATTTACATAAATGATATCTTAGATGATACAATGTCATTATCAGAAATCTACCATATAAACAAATTAAAGTTCAAAATAAACTGGATCGCTGAATTTCATTAATTAAAAAATTCTATCCCAGAAGAATGGATCCATGTTGTTCAAAAAGAAAATTCGGTTAAAAGTACAGTTGATATTCAGAGAAATAAGATTATCTGGAAAAATCATTATACTGAGACTCACTTATTAACAAATGAAATATTATATAACTCTTTAATAAGTATAAAAATAGAGCCATCAATAGGAATAAACAGATGGCTTAGAATCCTAGAAATACAAGAAACTATAAATATGAATTCATTGTACCAATTTATTTTTGAATATCTGACTGAAAATAAGTTAAAAATATTTAGATGGAAATTATTACAGTATATTGTTCTAACGAAAAAAACATTTATTGCAATGGAAAATAACTAAGACAGATAAGTGTAATTTTTGTAACCAAGAAGAAGATTATGCACATTATTTTCTATATTGTTCATATTTGATTAAATTTTGGAAAAAAGTTGATGACCTCTTTAAAAAAAGTAAAAATAGAATTTGTTATTAATTTACAACATCTTATATTTGGATATAAAATCACAAATAGAAAATATTACTTTTTGAATTATCTAAAAACGATACTTAGTTTTTCTATCTACAAGTCATATTATGTATCCGAACAGAGAACAAAAATTGTTGATGTCTATAGTATTTTTGAGATGAATTTAATAAGAGAGAAGACACAGATATATATAATTCAATATGTCCAATGTTATTGTCAATTAAAAATGATTTTAGCAATAGTTAGTCTTTATATAGGACACTTGTACATCTTAATAAGTTACTAAGTTTAATCAGCTGTTTATTTTCCTGGATAATCAGTTGAGTGTAACAGAACAAATCAAGAGAAGCATGGACACGTGGTGAGATTTGTAGCAAGCAAGATTTGATGAATAAATATTATTATGTTTTTAAAAAGAAAAAAAAAACATTCTCCCGAAACCCTATGACATAAACATATAAGGACGAGACTTTTAATCGAAATCTGATAGAAAGATGAGATGTCCTGACTTGCTACATACATTTTTTTCAAATAACGGAGTGGTGGGGGTTTAACTAGGTTTGTGGGATCTCAAACCTCCCCTTAATCATATCTTATTTCTATCAAAGTTATAAAGACATACTAAAAAATACTTGCACAAAACAAATGTGTCAAATGACCGCTTAACTATTTATCATCAAATGAAACCAGAAGCTCGTATGAGCCTGTTATGGCTCACCTGCCAAAGTCTGTCAAATTGAACCTGATATTTGTTTTTTAAAGGATCTTCTATATATGCTTCCTGTAAAGTGTGGTTACATTTGGCAATGAAAAAAGTAAAATAACAAAAATACCAAACTCCAAGGAAAATTCAAATCGGAAAGTCCATTACAAAATGGCAAAATCAAAAGCTCAAACACATCAAACGAATGGAAAACAACTGTCATATGTCAAATGAAGTTTCAGAGGACAAGATTGTAAACAATATCAGCCAATCAGAAACAAAAAGTGCCCATGGCAGCCATATTTGCTATCTGATCAGGACAAAATAAGACACTTTCGTAAGGGACCTCCAATAAATGCTTCATGTCAAGTTTAGTTTAAATTTGGCCAACCAATTTGAGAGTATAACTAAAATATTTAATCAGCCAATCAGAAACACAAATTGACCATGGAGGTCATGTTTGTCTTACGATCGGAACAACATTTGTGAAGGACCAACCATAGATCTTTCCTGTAAAGTTTGGTTCCATTTGGCCAAGAGGTTTCAGAGGAGAAGGTTTGGCGGTTTCAGAGGAGGTTTTTTTTAAATATCCCCCATGGCAGCCACGTTTGTTGTCCGATCGGACCAAAATGAGCAAATTTAATAGAGGACTTCCCAAAGATGCTTTACATGTATGTCAAGTTTCATTTTATTTGATCAAGCGGTTTAAGAGAAGAATATTTTTGAGATATTTCTCTCTTGCTCTCAAATGATATATAGCAACCTGCATATCATTTAATTTTTTTCGCTGAACAGATCCAAGCCTGGGCACTTCTGAATACAATTTATGGATAAAAATAATTAAATTTGTATGAAGGTTTCGTACATGGGAAATCATGAATAGTATGTAATGCCGTTTTCTATCCACCTTATATACTCTTTTCATTTATGGAACTGACATTATAACTGTTATAAATATAATCATTCTTTATGCGTGAACCCCCTATGTATTGGCGACTTTTGGAAGCTTCTATGAGCCATTCAGATATCCTCGGAAACAAGATTCTCGGAACGTCTCGAAAATCTTCGATCAATTATACAGGTAGTTATCTATGTCTTTGATACGGCCCCTCTATGGATAGGCTACCACGTGACTGTGTATATTTCAACGAACCAAGTTCATTTGTAGATCGGAAAGTATATAAGTAAAGAAAGTAAGTGACAGAACATATGCGTTTTGATTTGAATGTTTATTAAATATCAAGTAAAAGGATAACGCAATTAGATAAATAATTAAATCGTGTTTTGATACGGTCCCTGTACGCGTAGTGTGTGCAGTATTTAATACAACGTGCTATTGTGTTTTGTAATAATAAACTTGGGAATAGTATACTGACAATAAATTATGTCCAATAATCTGATTATTTCTGAACGTTTACCACTTAATTCCATCATAGCCTGAGCAAGTGTCTGAAAGCAAGAAGAAAATGAAAAAAAAAACGATATTTCTGTCAGAAGTCCGAAACACAGTGGTTTGAAAACAGAAAGATAATTAAACAAAACGTTATTCTGTCAAAAATAGTTAATTTCATTAATAGATACTATCAGACCAATGGAAATTCAATGTTCATTAAAATCATTTAGTTTAACATACATGTGACAGAGTTGTCAAGTCACAACCGGAGATTTGAAAATTTTCAGTAGGAGTTTGGGCCTCAAAACTGAAGATTTTTTATCGACATATTTATCGATGTTTTCTGTGTTCATTTTGATAATAAAGCTACATATTTCCCCCTTTTTTAAGATAACAGTATTACTATTAATGAATTATCTCTGTATTGTTACAATGTGAAATATTTTCCAACACTAAGCTATACGAAAAATTTGTATGTGATTTTTTTCCTTTACTCATCTTTGTCACCTATCTTAGTGTGTTCCTCAGTTCCAACATCCAATCATAATTTATGTGTTTTAAAGTGTTATTCTATTTTCCAAGCTTATTGTTCATTCGGCCAGATTTAGCATAAACACTTAAAAATCATTAAATTACCATCCTTAAATGATTCTTCGTTCAATTTGTATTTCATTTATATTCTTTTATCAATTTACGTTATGTTAAGGAGGGTAACTTAAAACATGATAAAACAAGGGAAGTAACCCGAAATTTCATTTAAGTGTTTTCAAATACACAAAGCTTTTATTACATAACGGCAGTTAGCCTGAGGTAAAAATCGTTAATTAATAGTATATTTGACACCCAAGGTGTCAAGTGAAGCCATATAATTATACAAGTTCTTTGATTTACAGGTAAAAATTACCTTCATCAGTGAAACAACAATGTAATTAATGTGGACATCGATGGTAAAAAAAAATAGAGACTGACAATTTTTTTGGGGTTGAAATTTAAAAAAAACCGGAAGATTTGAATAATTAACGGGAGGGACAGAAGAGGGCTTAAAATTCGGAAGATTTTGACTCCCGCCGGAAGAACCACATGTCTCGACTTTCAGCGTTCTACTTCTAGACCCGAAACCAGGAGTTTTATTTCAAGTATAGGACATTTAAATTTTGACATGATCATGTTGCAATGTCTCTTTCAAGCAAATGTTTGAAAAAAATCATATTTTGAAAACATGTTGGTTGTTGCGTTTCCTTTTATTTTGGGAGAGAATAGTTTATTGATTGATGATTTGTTTTATATAATGAAGTAATTTTGTTTAGTGCATATCATTTTTAGTCCTTTCAAATTTGAAATACATTTATGAAAAATTCTATAAAAAAACATGAGAATAAAATAATCTGAATCTATGCACAAACATAATGCAAAATGTTACCTTAGATGATTTAACCATGGGATCCATTTCTTTTTGTTCTATCAGCCATTTTGTTAACTCAATGTTTCCACTGTAAGCTGCCAAATGTAATGCTGTTTCTCCGTTCTGTAATGATGATTAAAGTATTATGTTTTGGTGTTTGATGCTAGTTAAATAAATCAGTGTTTAGTTACAGTGTATGATTAACGTCTGTCGTATACTGATAATTAAGTATTATGCTGTAGTGTTTTATAGTAGTTAAATAATTCAGTGTTTTTGTCTGTGTAATATGATTACTTCATATCCTTTCCGTAGTATTCATAACTTCTGCCAAAAAACCAACATAAACAAACATTCTAACCACCACGAAATAGCAAAGTAATGCTGTTAGTGGCGTTAAACACTAATAAGTCAATCAATCAATCAATCAACAAACATTCTAAATAATACAGTTTTTTTAACTAAGCACTTATCTAAGTACACAACCATGTGTGTCTGTGTTGGTCAACAAGATGTTTGCGACATTGTATCTCATGGTACAGGTATACATGACAAAAAAAATAATGTTCATATAAAATCCTTTACGGTTCTAAAAATCCTAAAGGATATTTTTTCTCCTAGAGTTTTATATCTCTTAAGATAGAAAAAAATGAATAGGATATTTTTTTCTCCATCGGGTCTTTCCATTGTAGAATTACTCTTATAGGATTACAATTATTCATATAGAAATAATAACAAATCATAACGGAAAACATGCAAAAAAAGGAGAAAACAAATCAAATTGGGTTAATTTATGTCCTATAGGACCATTAATAATCCAACGGGAAAAATTGTAGCATATAGGATATAAACAAACAAATCACAGATGATAGGAAAATATATCGGATAGTGAGAGTATTGGAAGACAATGATTCTATAGCAGTACATTTATGAAGATTTTGATAATAAAACGGATTTTCGTTTACAAGAAAGTTCACAAACATTTGTTTTATAGTAAAACTAAGCCATTCAAGTATATAAAACATATTTATTTTTTTTTTAATTCGAAGTTTCATATGACTTTAGTGTCACTCAGTGAATATCAGGAAAGAACATTATCTTTTTGCTAAGATTCAAATAGTCACTTCCTGTTGATTTATTGTTGACATATTGCAAGGTAACTTCGAATATTTCCGTAAATTGAAATGATATGACAATGTTTTGTAAACCTTTTATGAACATTAAAGTTGTAATTATAAATAACAAAGTTGCACTAGTTGTATGTTAACACCTTTTGTCCTAAGAGTAAACGAATACAGAGAAAAACGGCCCAAACTATTCACAGTACACAGAAAGTAGATAACAAAAGCAACATGAATTTTATATAACTGTGGTAATAACGGTAATTTTTTGTTTGTTAACCTCGATAACAATACTGATAAAAGTTCATTTCAAATCATAATCCTATTTCAAAAACAATATCTATTTGAACGTTGTACTTGGAAATTCAATTTGTCTTATCATGTATAGAGAATATGACAAAATAAGTGGACATGTAGGTTGGAATATAGAATCTTCAAACAATATACAATTTTATACAGTTACGGAGTTTTGGCGTGTTCCAGTGATATAAACAACTATTAGAAAAAAAAAATAATAGGATTTGGAACGTTAAAAAAATGTTCGCATTGCAATATTATTTCATTTAAAAAAAAAGGTCTTAGCTGATTTTCAGTTAGGCAGCAACTTTTACGTCATTAGGCAAACCCTAATGGCTCGGGGTCAAAATAATGTGTCCGGATAGGAGATAAAGATTCTCCAGCAAATTTAAATGAAAATAAAAATTGAGATAGACATACCTAAAAGTTTTGTTTAAAACAATAAAATACCAAAAGATTTTTGTAAACACATTTGGAATATCTTATTTACATAAGTATGCGCTAAATTTGTGCAACATTTCTCTTTGAAAATGATTAATTTTACGTCACGTAAAATAACATTTTACGTTAGCTACGTCAGTATCTCCCCTGTAACTGTATCGTATGCCCTTTAGCAAATTAAAATAAAATGTCAAGTTATGTTCTTTCATTGGTTACTGTAAATATATGATATATGCCAACCATTTATCACTTGTATATCTTAATTAGCCAGAGCTGACACATCCACTTACATTGTTTCAGCTATAACTCTGAATTATAAAGCCTTATTTTATATTCAAGACAACTCATGCATTTGTTATGATTCCGGTTAAATCAAAACCAAAGACTTTACCAGTGCAAATACCAGCAGAGATTATTATTCATAGGTATAATCATCATTAAGTATGCTCAAGACACATGCTAATTAATATGCTTAGTCTCGGTACGATTTAAGGCTTGACATAGAGATACCTGCAAATTTGTGAAGACATGTACATTTATTTTGGTTATGTGTGTCGTTGGATTGCTGTATACATGCTAACGTCTACTCAACATCAACTTAACTATATATGTTTGTGAACTCGCATGGTAATGATACATGCACAACATCATAGTAAACATGCGGTTTTGTCTTAGACTAATACATTTATCTATTGTTCCAAGGTTGTTTGTATGGATTTTTTTCTATTTTTCGTCGTCAAAAATCACAAAGTCCGTCTTGATATACACCATGAGATAATCTATTATTTTTTTTTATGGTTATCTTAAACGTTACTAAAACGCAGCTTTCTCAATTTAAACATTGAAGATAGCTAGATAGCTAAATTACGACAGATTGACGCATTGTTTATGTTTTTATTGATAAAAACTGTGTTCTTTAGTTTACGATAGCTTTCAGTTCTTCAGTTTGGTAAGAATCCCCAAAAACATTTTTGTTGGGGATATCTCCCCATTTGAAGGTTTTAAGGGTTGACAACTACATGTATATAATCAAAACGTGTCATACTAACCTGGTTATAGACATTGGTAAAACCGAGTTTTGTATTTGGTCATACTCAATAAAAAAAAATTATATAGTTTGGTTTTTAAGAACGAATACTGTAAAGGTGACAAAGTATTTGTTTGCAACATCACCTCAAACAAAATGTACTTCCTTGAGTTTTGTTAAATTATTTAGATATTGGTAATTAAGCCATACTTTGTTCGACACACGATTTCAATTGTCTCGTCGGGTTGCTGTCTCATTGACGCATGCCCCACGCTTTGCTTTATTAATGATACACTCAATTTAGCATGTTCTTGATAAATGTCTGCCTTGTTCAACTGTACTTGTGAACTATTTACATATTTAACGGAATTCGTTCAAATGCTAGTTCACTCCAACATTACCTACATGTACTTTATCTACAAATGATGTACATGTACCAGTATACAGAATACTGAGGAATTGATTGAAAGAAGAATACAGAACATGAATTCCCAAAACATTTCTGCATTCCTATAGATATACAGCTAGTAATATAAAAAAATATGAAGCTGTGTAGTTAACTGGTCTTATATTTTAATATACAAAGTAAATTATATAAAGATTTTGGTCACATAATTTTGAAAGAAACTGTTTGTATGATATCTTATACAATGAATGAACAATCTTTGGAATATATAAAAACAAAAAGGTGTAGTATGATTGCCAATGAGACAACTCTCCACAAAAGACCAAATGACACAGAAATTAACAACTATTGGTCACCGTGCGGCCTTGTCTTCTTTTTTTTCTCTCTGCTTGGTTTGAATTATGTTTTGTACATATATACTGCAATGGCTTTAGAAAAGGATATTGGAATTGTTTAATTTCGGAATGTTGGTACCAGCTATGGTAATTGTATGAGCATGTCCCTCATTGTTTAACAGAACCATAGGACCTATCGTCAACATTTGTCATTTATGGTTATTTTAAACGTATTTTGAATGAAAGGAGGTGAGGGGAAAAATTCAGAAGCAGTCAAACAACTCAAACAGCCATAACACATCTTAATAACTGAGTCATTAAGGGCAAGAGATGGTTTGAATAAATGTTAACTAAAAATTGTGTTTCGCTGATTAACAACCTCATTGAAAAACCATATTGATACTAATAACTCAAATTAGATGACAGATAATGGGTGATTAAAACCAAACTTTCTTGAAATGATACATCTACATTTGGAATGATTTTGATGAACCTATAATATATACCGAATATTTTGATTACGAAATTGAAAATCAATTGTGTATATGGTATAGAGCTATGTGAATAAAAGGAGATGAGATAATACTTAAAACGGGAATATTCATTGGGGAGACAGCAACCCAACAACACAAGTATGTACAAATTACCATACATGCATTTAGACAGCTAAGGTCACAGCAATAACACTGAAATATCTAGAGACTTCTTATTTGTATTTAAGTCATTAGTTAACGCTTGGATCATGAGTACAAATATTTTTAAGAATAAACAAATAACGAAGAAATAAACAAATAACGATTTGTCATATAAATCCATGTTGTTAAACGGATTTCCCCAGAATCAGTTATCAGGACTGAAAGACATAGCAATGTGTTTGGATACTAACAAAACTCATTATCAATCTCGGTACATTGGGAAACAGACGAGACATCTGTTTGATACCAAAGGTCTAAGGTCAAACTCGGGTCAAATCGTGTCACTATGGTACAGTGTGAAACATTTTGAATAAGTGAATACATCTATCGTCCTCAGTTTTTTACTCATAAACTGTATAGGAAAAAAATTACTCAACAGTTCAAAACACCTTGAATCTAGGATTGGTGAAATTACAAAAGGAAAATATTAAGATCCATAGATAGATGGCTTTTTTTTTAAAATTTGATTAATTGGCAAAGACAGAAATCAGTCAAAAGTTCAATTGTTTGAGCATTCTTTAGACCTTTTAGACACATATTTCTTTTTAACAAAGCAGGATCAAAACTAAAGATTTAAAAATTTGTATTTGGTTATTTTCTGACAATGTCTTTAGGAGTAAGATCGAATACGTGTTGGCTAGGAGTCAGAATAAAGTGTATATATTTGCCACTGGACAAACAACAATAAGAATCATTAACATACAGTCGTCCTGAATATGCATGTTATATTTGTCGTTGGACTTTATGCAGGTTGGCTTTTCCTATTTAGATAAATGTAGTATGACTGCAAGATATATTGGACAA